CTGCCATTTGAGAAGTTTCGAAGCAGAAAACTTTAGGTATTATCGGCTCAAAATCATATAGAGCCAAAGTCTTGCCAACTCAAAGCATCGTGCTTTTTGAAAGGGAGTACGAAGAACAATGCTATAACGTGGAGTTTAACAAGTTTATCTTCATAACTAGGGAAGTCCGCAACCCGCCTTTATACGAATCTGATAGCCAATATACCACGACCGGAAAACGAGTCTGGGCTTCATCATGGGAACTCTGAGGCAACAAAATAGGGAGGGAGAAAAGGTGAGAATTGTGTTAACTAAAGGCCGCATGTATTAACATCCCAGCCGCGGAGGAGATAGTAGCTTAATTGAAAGTCTCATACATTGAAGCTACAGATATCTGGATTTCAGCTGTCTATCTATCCAAGTATTCCCACCATCCTTCGCTAGAAAAATATCGAAGAGGAGCGAAAAGCTGTACATGCTCCATACTGCATATTCCAAATTCTGATCTTCTCTTATGATTCCCAACGAACGACCGTCTTTTCCTCAAAGTCATTTTCTTTCCTCGATGTTAACAAAAACATTTCAAAGTCGTTCTGTTCGTCTTACCCACAGTACTAAGCATTTTGTTGATAAGAACAAGTGGTGTTTTAGAATCATGAAATTTGCATAAGCAACAAGTCAAAAGTTCGGTTTTATTGAAAAATTCAGTTTTTCAAAACTCATTTGCTCTTATTAGCAACATGTTTAGCACTGTTGTATTAGATGTTCAGTACAACTTGGAAGGTTTTCGTTAATTTCGAAGAAAGTAATATGACTTTGAAGAAAAGACGGTCGGCCACCGGGGATCATCAGGGGATCATACAAAAGTTGGAAAATGCGGCTTGTACGGCTTCTTGCCCCCGTTATGTTCATAGTAAAGGATGGAGAATTCCTACGGATAGGTTAGAGGCGTAATGAAGCTATTTCTTGAGCTGCAATCCCCTCCCCGGCGGGGATGTTAATGCATGCGGCCCTAAAGGCTTACCTAAGAGGGATTCATAGAAGAAATAAATCTGGGCACTTTGGCAATAGAAAATTCGGGGAGTAGATTTGCCTGTACTGTTTGTTTTTCAATCAAAGAGTGGAAGCGCATTTGCTGCAATAACTAAGATGCAGACTGCAGACGGCAAATTTGATGCGCTACTTGGCATGCAGCACTCAAGGTCGCGTGGTTCACTAGTACTCATAAAGCCTAAAGGTGAGCCTGCAAATGCAACAATGTGCTGAATTTTGCAATTTTTATGTATCATTTTCTTTTCACAATAAAGCTGATCATGTTTTCGTTCACAAGAGCACTAACTATAACTAGCTACGGATTAGATTTAGATTCAGATTTATTTGCCTCTCATATTATTACAATATGTGGCACCCAAACTAATTGATCCATTCTTTCAACGTGAGTGATCTTGCTACTCTTTGCCAATTGCAAGTGCCAAGCTTCTTTTGAAATTCATCTCTCCATCTCATCCGTCGTCCTACTGGACGCTGTTGAAATAGTCGCCATTCCAATAGTTCTCTTGACCATTTTATCTCATTTCTGTTGGCGAGTTTCCAAGCTTAAAAAAAGTTTAAATCCATTTCCTTTCCTTCGCACAAGTCGCTAAATCTTTCACTTTGGTGACGCCACGTAACCATGCGTCTTCTTGTCTATTAGGCGACTGCCAACCATTCCTTTCTAAACGTCTTTCAGCAGCACTAAGCTGTTTCTCCATCTTCTCGTCATTGTCTATGTTTCCGCACTGTACAGAATCGCAGGAAGAATACATGAATTAAACAACCTCCGCTTCCACTTCATTACCACTCTCATCGATGTCAAAAAATCCTTATATTGGTTGAAAAAATGCCATCCAGCATGTATACGTCTTGACATCTCTTTGTTATTATCACGGGAGAGTGAAATAGACTGTCCAAGATAAATATAAGATTCCACTTGTTCAATGGTTCCGCCTCCAGCCTGCTTGTTACTGGCGTACGTGCAAGCACTTTGGTTTTCAAAAAATTAATTTTGAGACCGCTCTTGCGTGAATGAATATCCAGGTAGTTTACCATCTCTCGTAATTCATTTCCACTTTTTGCAAACAAGACGACGTCATCAGCAAAACGAAGATTCGTGAGCTGATTACCATCTATGTAATAACCATAGTTGTTCCAGCTGATTTTTTGAAAAACGTGTTCAGGTGTGGCTGTGAACAGCTTTGGTGAAAGTAGCTTTGGTGAAAGTAGATCTCCTTGTCTCACTCTTCTCTCAACATTTATAGGATGACGCTTCACCGAACTTTACGGTAGATTTGGAGCTTGTTTAGATTTGATGAAGAAGAGTGATAAGCTGCCAGCGAACTCCTTGTTCTCCAAGAGCAGTCCAAAGTTCATTCAATTCAAAGGTGTCAAATGCTTTTTCGTAATCTACAAATACCATAAAAAGTGGCAAATTGTACTCACTTGTGCGTTCAATCAGTTCATTGATGGCATGGATATGATCAACCGTTGAATAATTTTTTCGGAAACCTGCTTGTTCCCGTGGTCGCTCTTGGTCGAAAAATCTTTCTAATCTTTGATTGATGACTTTGACAAGCAACTTATGGAGAACCGGAAGCAAAGAGATGGAGCGATAATTGCGTACTTCATCCGGATTTCCCTTTTTATAGAGTAGGATGGTTACTGAATCTGCCATCTTCGCTGACACCTTGCCGGAGTGGAGACACTGATTAAATAGCTGTGTAATCAAGGTAATAAACTGTTCTCATCCTTGCTTAATTCTCTACGGTGATGCACTTTCATCGAGTTCAGTGCCATAAATATTTCATCTTGTAAAAACGGACGGCAGGTTTCTTGTGAGTTGTGCCGAATATATACCCTAATTTCACGCGTACAAGGCGCGGGGTGGTCCTAGCTTTCATCGACCAGCCCGAACACGGCAAAGGACTTCGCAGCCAAAGGAACCCCATACCGTGCTGCGTTTTGCCTGACGAATCGTGCGACATAAGGATCGCTTCTTAAAACACGTTGGGGCGGCTGAGCAGCTCGATGAAAGCTAGGACCACCCCGCGCCTTGTACGCGTGAAATTAGGGTAATATATCGACAGCTCGAATATATAGAGTTTCAAAATAAGAATCAACTGTCCTGCAGATCTCTGACTTCTCTGACTACAATACATCTTCCCTTTTCATCTTATATTCGAAAGAAATATGATATCTGTAAGATAGTTCTCCCTTAACTTTCTTCAAGCTACGTGATGACCGTATGGCTTCCTCTAATCGTCTGCGATGATGAAAGCGTATATCAGCTTTTATCATTCTTCTCAATAATTTGCAACACTCGACATAGGCGATGCGGTCGGCTGACGTAGACATTGTTTTCTTTATTTTTTAACGTTTGTTCATCATGATGGTAGTTTCTTCTGAAAGATAGCTACAGGTAGTGGTCTTCTCATATTCTGGCGACTTTGCTGCGTTGGTGATATATTTGCACAGTTCTTCATATCCATTTGCCGGAGATCGTAGCAACGACGTGTAGAGATCTCTTGCTTGTAGAGTTCCCTGATCACGCATTTCTGAATTTTTCGATTTCTCTTCCTCATCTTATCTGAGCTTGGCCAAACAATTTTTCCTCGTAGAAAGCGATGATCGCTACCATAATTTAGGAATCCAGTCCTCACTTGTGAATTTGATGTGTTTGCAAGAAAGGATGTGGTCGATGCAATTCATAGTTTTACCATCAGGTGATTTCCAAGCCCATTTGCGGCCTTTACGAGTTTTGAAAAAGGTAGACATTGCTCGAAGGCTGTTTTCTTTACAAAATTCAATGATCAATTGTCGATCGTTTCTCTCTGTATTCTCTGTATCCGCAGCAACCTGCCGAAGTCTCGACATCGCTTATTCGTGTGCCAAGCTTTGCGTTAAAATGTCCTAGTACAATTATATGTATTTCTGATTCGTTATTCTTGGTCTTCATGTGATAGGCTCTCTTGCTGTGGACGATCCTGTTTTGAAGAACGCATTTTGCTTGGTTCTATTCTTCGTCTTCGTGATCCTTGTCGTTTGTCTTGGGAGGTACGTATTGTAGAAAACTCCTAAGACTCATTTAGATAATCTCTATCATTACCACAATCACAACAAGAAATCTCACATGGTTACAATCTGAGCCACCATTGCGTATGAGCTTTCCATTGCGACTGACTTGCGCTGGCCGCCGCCGTGACCACGCCTCTTTCGAGACGCGTTCGCGACACTGGGCCGCCGGAGTTCGCCTTTACGAACGAGCTTCCACTTGACCGAAAGTGGGTGGTGACCTCACAATCACCAATGGCTGCTCTGGAACTCTGCTGCCGAAACATGTCCACGAGGACATGGATCACAGTAGACTTGCTTTACGAGGATTTTCGGCAACTCTCCGGCGCGCAAGATAAATGAAAAAAAATGTTTTTTGTGCAACTCGCTAGGTGACTCGAATTATTACAATGAAAAGAAAAGGAAATGGCGTTACTCTACCTATTGATCAAAGGATCAATTAACCCATAATCTTCCCTACAATCGATAATTAACTAAAACCACAATTTTCCAAGTGAATAAGAAAGAACAGTCAATTAACACACAATCTGATCTAATCGAATAAGGACGATGAGCAAATCCATCGACGGCGAATGAGCGGCGAGTGTCTGGAACAGGTTTCCTAAAGTGCGAGGCTATTCAAAATTTGCGAGCTGTGGCTATTGTCGTGCGATTTCTATTTTTTACTGCGGGAACATGAACGGGCACAACACGGACACGTGATGCTGCACGTGTCGGTTATGCTTCTTGCAGTAGAAGCAAGGACTTGACTGACACGTGAGCTCTGGCCCCCTCAGATGCTGCTTAGCGGCGGAAACATAGGTTTAAATCGCGCATGCGCTCCCGTCTATCCGACAAAGTCGCATAGACGTCGCACTCTGTTGCGAATTGATAAGTGTTCGAACCGCAGTTAAATTTACATCGTCCTTTTTCAATTAGCGAAAGTAAAGGCGCCGGCGTGGTTGGCGGTGTACGAAGTTGTGGCGTGAGGGATTGTCTCTTCCTTGTTGTGGGTGCATCAGAGCTGCTTCAGCTGAACTTCCACGCTCTCCTCCTCCCGTGCGTGTCTGACGATGTTCTAAAATAACGAGTTATGTTATTACTTCCGTATAGACCCACTGACCAATCTTTCTCTTACGTTTTTTTCTAATAATGTATGTTGTCCAGATGCGCCACCAGTTCTTGAATTTGCTTTACTTCAAAATCCGATCCACGAAATCATAAATACAAACCAACCTACTTATTTTCGACTTCTTTTCGAATTTTTTCCAACTCCTGGGTCAATTGCGTTATTAGATTCCGTACGGTGGCCGCAGCCGACGTTGAACACGCGGCAATACCTGTAGGCTCTTTCTTTACTTTCGGCTGCTCTTCTACTTGATTTTGCGTTTCCACATCCATGTTTTTTTGCGAATCGGTGTCCGATTCCGAGTCGCTTCCGATTTCGTGCTCTGGTAGCATTCTGAAAGAGTTTGCATTGAAAAATTGTTCATTTCGATTTATATGTGACAAGGCGAAAACAAAATATAAATACGACATGTACAAGGCGCAATAGTATGCGAAATGGCAGCATGAATACTTGAAGGATATAAAGTAACGGTACGAGACAAGGGAGGGATAACTTCAGAAAATTGGATGCTGATGCGCAGGTTGATTTCGATTTGCTCTGTTGAGCTATGATGGCGAAGGTTGCTATAGTCGCGATTAAGAGAAATATTCCCATTAATGTTGCATACCAAAAATATTGCTTGATTACATTCCATAAATAAAACAAATCTGGGAAACTGAAATCCGAAGTGTCATCTGACAGTGATACAATCTTCGAAGTTTTCGACAGTTTGAAATCATTTGCAAGAGTATTTGTAAATTGAAGTATTCCTGAGATTTTAAAGACGGTTCGTGTTCCGCAATGCGCTCGACAAATTTCGCTTATCTGGGCTTTATTAAAGGAAAACCGCACAACCGTGTTCTTTCCTTCTCGTGTACAGGGTACTATAGATGCACTGCTTTCGCATTCGATTTCTGCTATTGCATTTGCTATACGCGAGCGACAAAAAATTCTAGAAGAAGCGCCTTGAAGACAGCCATAGCATCCTACTAGGGGCGAAGTGGAGACTGAGCAAGCAAAATTGTCTATTATGTTTCAAACACTGTTTCTTGAAGTATTCAGTTGCAATGACAATTCTAAAGAGGCAATTTCGGTTACGAGTTCAGGATTATAAACACTCGATAAATTAATTACGAAATGTGGGAATGTTAAGGGTAACAGAGATTGTATATTGAAAAAATCATCATTCGGTGTATCATTGCAGTAACAGTTAACATCATTCTCGGCAGGTGTACATGAGCAAGTGTTGCTCACTGTACAATTCGAAGGCTGTGAACGATTTAGGCTTGTGCAAACGTACGAGAATTGCTGATTTCGTGGTAACATGGCAACATGTTCTTTTTTGCGAATAATTTGAGAGTTGAAGAAGGAGATAGGAGGGATTGCTAACTTGGTTATCGATAAAAGAAACCGGAAGATTTTTTTAGTACATTAGGAAAGAGTGCTGATATTTATGTTGTTTTCCTTTCGATCGTATAATTTCGTAGGAAAGATGGATGATTTCTTTCCAAGTGGGGCATTCAAAAATCTCATAAGTAGTATTACTCACAATCTTATATATAAAGCTGAATGTCTGTTTGTATGTCTGTATGTCTGTCTGTGTGTACGTATGTTCCGAATAGAAAATTCCATTTCTCAACCGATCCGGACCAAACTTGGCACACATATACTTCGGGGCAGGGAGCGTGTCATAGGCTACTTTTCGTTATGATTGATATCGATCACCCCCGTGGGGGTGATCATCATGCTCGATTACACCCCTCTGCCAAATTCCAGCCCCCTAGCTCAAATTTTGCAAAAAATCGATAAAATCGACATCGATCGATGACGAAAAGTGGACTGTGACACCCGCCGGGGCCCGAAGTGTATGTGTGCCAAGTTTGGTCCGGATCGGTTAAGAAATGGAATTTTCTATTTGGAACATACGGCGGAGCCGGGTAAGCCAGCTAGTTTCCTTATAAATTAGATAGAACAAATTTCCAGATGAAGGATATCCGCAATCGCAACCCCAGAATCCACATGATTCCGAACAAAAAGAAATTCGTGGGTACTGGTTAGCGTACGACAGTTCTTCTAGTAAAGAGGATTCGTTTACATTTGAGCACTTTCGACCTACGCGACTGCCCATATGTGGACATCTTTTCTTCGATTGCACTTTAGTGCGAGTATCTTGTGTGTAAAAAGCGTTCTAGATTTACAAGACAAAATTATACGATCTAGTGTAATTTTGATTATTCTTCAATGGCGCTTTGCGAAATCAATCACTACAAGCTTCACGAATGAATGGAATCAATTTAAGGAGTTGCGTGATAGAACAATCACTTAGATCTGTCGCACTGAGTATTCGATAATACGACAGGAAAGGTTATTTGGCATGCAGAGGTGTGATACATAGGAAGCACAAAACAGGCGATAGTTACGATGCTAACCAAAGAGAACTTCTTAGATCTTTTATGAGAATTCGGGACAAGCAATAAAGGCTCCTCAGTTTCCAGTGGTCTGTTGTCGCTTACATTCATGAAGAATGAAAGAATGCTTTTGCGAAGAAATCTTGCGATGCGCCTACAAAACATATGGTTGCGAACGTAGATATTATGCTTAGATAAAGAATCACCGCTATCATTGCGATTGCTGCTCGCGGCCAACAGCTAGGATTGCTGATGAGTACAAGGCAAAAGTAGCAGTCAATCATTTCGCAGAATGGGCTTGGACGGCATGTTAAGAAAGAAATTTCCGTTCGAAGTTCGTGTTTCATCTTTACGCGTACTTCGTGTTCATGTAGGCAAATGCTAGCGGGCAGCATTATTGTTGTTTTGTATTGCAACACCCGCGTTGTGATGCAAAGACCGATAGCGCATGCTTGTACGTCCAATTCTGGTAATATATTGTTTATGAAAATTTTTCCTTGAATGCATTTAACTTGCATGTTTTCTGTTATTTGTTCTTTCGCATTCACTGTACGAGTCATTGCACTGAATATACAGATTACAAAGAGAACGAAGTTACTGAATGGAATTAATCTGAAAAGTTTTGCGTAAGTAACACGTTTTTTCGCCTTTCGAGGGGGCTGTATCCGTATTGGTTGATTATTGAGATTAGAATTTTCTGAAGACTTTCCGTTTTCTGATTTTATTATTTGTGAGTCATCATTGCTACTGATTTCGAGGGGTACGAGCATGTTGATCGGCCGCTTGATTACGTTGCGCTTTGAGCAACGTACTTCTACTGATCGAACTTGATCATCTGTTTCTGGGAGTAGTTCTTGGGTCCGACCTGTGGATTGTTTCTTGTCGATTTACGTTGTTCCACTTGAGCGTTAGAATTTGTAAACTAGTAAGATATAAAGTATTCCATTGATCCCAGAATTTTTTGAGTGTTTTCTTAGCTTCTTCTGAAAGCGAAATTGCTTCTTCACGATTCAATATAAGTTGATAGTCTGGGTCATAGTCTGGCGAAAATTTCCATGGTGATACATACGTTTGTGCCTGGTTGTAAGAAATCTATTGATCTTATAGCATTTGTGTCTTGCAGATCTGAGGATACGTATGTTAGTGGTCGTGTATTGATTATAGCCTCACATTCTGTGACTACCGTACGGAATTCCTCATCTGAAACAAATCGTCGTTTGATTGTTTTACGAAGACAAGATTTAACGCATCCGATCATGCGCTCATAGAATCCCCCTTTCCAAGGTGACAATGGCGTTATAAATTTTTATTCGATTCCTTTCGGCTACAAAATTTTGTAAGTTTTTGACTAGATTCCAGGACTTATTGACTAGCTGTTCGATTATTTCTTTTCCTGCCGTGAATGTTGTAGCGTTGTCGGAAGTTATTGATTTTGGGACACCTCGCCTTGCGATAAAGCGTCTAAATGCATTTGAGAATTGCAAGACTGATAGTCTCCTTACTATTTCGAGATGTATGGCTCGTGTAGACATGCAAGTGAGGAGGCATATCCAGCGTTTCTCGTGAGCCTTGTCTCCTGCATTTACGATAAACGGGCCTGCATAATTGATGCCTACGTGTTCGAATGGTTTTGATATACGTACGCGTTGCGAGGGTAGATCAGGAGGTTCGGGATATTTGTAAGGTTGACCTTGTAGTTTTTTGCATGTGATACAACTTCGAAGTACCTTCTTGATTGTTTGCCGCGCTTTCGGTATCCAGTATCTTGTTTGTGGCTGAGCTAGACTTCCATGCGTATAACTTACAATCACTCGCGTGATCTCGTGGTGTGGGAGTAGTAGTATAGGACTTATAGCATCATTGCCGAGGTGTGAGTTTGCTATACGACTATGGCAACGATAAATTCCTTGGTCTTGGCTCAAATTCAGATTCAAGTACGACTTTCGTTGATCGCTGAGAAAGTTTTTATAGTGATTTCTTAATAAAACTTTCTCTGCTAAGGCTAAGTCTTTCGCTTCTACTCTTCAAGATTTTGTTATCTCATATAATTCAGGACATTTCGAATCTTTGTTAAATTCATATCGCGTATGTTCGTACCGAAATTTCGATATTTTCTTAATGAATTTCAATACATATGCCTCCGAACGTCGTAACTTTGTCCAGTTTCATAAGGTGAAACGAAAAACTGATATATCTTTAGACTCTATTTTACACAAAGTCTGTAAGGCTATTTCTGATTCGCTCCTCTTCACTTCGAAATTTTCGTTTCGGGACCATTGGTTTTCTTCTTGTAAGAGAAATGATGGTCCATACCACCAATAGTGGTCTCGAAATTATTTTGCTATTACTCCTCTAGTGGCACAATCTGCATCTTCGTCCGTTATAAATATCTGCAGTCTATGCCCTGGTTCTTCCAGCTTTGAAAAATTGTGCGAATTTTCCTGACTCAATTATTAACAAAGGCACCAGCGTGTTTACTCGAATGTATCTGCGACAGTGCGATTTTGCTATCCGAGAAAATTCTGATTTCTCCGATGATAAGATTGAGTTCATTACGGATGAACTCTGTAAGCTGGCTAGCTATCAATAATGCTAGAAGCTCGAGTTTTGGTATTCCAGTCTTAAATGCCTGTTAATTTAGCGACTGGTGTGAGGCGGAATTTGCGCAGAGGAGATATACATTGGGTTTTTCGGCATTTTCATATCGAATATACGTACATGCAGCGTATTATTTGTAGAGGCGTCTGTAAATGTGTAAAGAGTGAATTTTCGATGTTCGAGTTCAGATATAAGTCTTGGCCATACTTTCGAGAATCCTGTCGTGTGACTGCAAATGTCCCACTGCTGTGCATCTTTTTCTGATAGATCTTGATCCCACTCATATTGTTTTGCCCATAAATTTTGAAGAAAAATACGAGCGCTGACGAGTAAAGGCGTTAAAAATC